GGGGGGGGGGGGGGGGGACAGGTGGAGCTTTCCTTACCTCTTCCCCTTCCCCTTTTTTCCTTTTCCTTTTTTCTTTCCCCTTTTTTTCGCTTCTGCGCTCTGATTCACAATGTGACAATATATATATATCGTCACAGAAATATTAGAGCGCAAAGGCGTACATACAGATACACATATCTCTGGTACTTGCCCCTTCCTTTTTTTGATTGGGCCACCGTCCACCACTCACAATTTACGCCAAAAGGAAGTTTGAATGCATCTGCGCACGGGGACGGCGAGTAGTGCATAGTACAACTACAGTACAGTAGGCCCTTTACAGCTCTGTCACGACAGGTAGGTAGGTGACAAGCCAGACTTACTGCACTATGCACTGTACAGCTCTGTCACGACTTAGTGCATAGTACAGCTCTGTCACGACAGGTAGGTAGGTGACAAGCCAGACTTACTTACTGAAGCAAGGTTGCAAGGACACTCTGGATCGCTAAGAAGAGTATGTTCACACTTGGGACTGCTGTGAACGAATCCCAGCTACCAGTAGGTTTGTTAAAGAAAATCCAAGCGTGAGGATGGCTCCACTCGATCCCCCGCCAGTCATGATACCACACCCTCATATCCTTTTCCATCTCACATCCTTCCTACAGTAGCCCCGCTCTCTTCTCTGCTCTGTCAATCCCCGGCCCTCTGGCAAATCTCTGCTCCCCCACTCCTCTTCCTTTCCCGTCCTCTCCCCTCCTACCCCCTTTCCCTGACCCTCTTTCCCGAACCCTTCCCGGGCCCAAGTCGTTTTCCCGGGCCCAAATCTTTTTCCCGGGACCAAGTCTTTCGCAGGACCAAGTCTTCCCGGGACCAAGTCTTTCCCGGGCCCAAGTCTTTTTCCCGGGACCAACTCTTCTCCGGGACCAACCAAGTCTTTCCCAGGACCAAGTCTTCCCGGGACCGACCAAGTCTTTCCCGGGCCCATGTCTTTTTCCCGGGACCAGGTCTTCTCCGGGACCAAGTCTTTCCACGGACCAAGTCTTCCCGGGACCAAGCCTTTCCCGGGACCAAGTCCCACTAACCCAAGTTCTCCATTTCCGACCGTAATAGACTACGACGATCGCCGGCCAGAAATGAACAATAAGCGTGCGCACCCCCGGACCCTTCCCAAAACCCCTTTCCCAAACCCCTTTCCCAAACCCTCTCTTCGCAACCCCGCTTTGCCGAACCCTTCAGGAACACCTCCCGGACCGCCTCTGCTCTATATGGGACTCTGGTCTATTGGGACCCTCTTTTCCCAGTTCCACCTTGTACCTTCTCCCTCTGACGCTGATGTCAAGTACCATCATACACGCTATGACGTATCTGTTCTCCCTTCTCAGCTCTCAAGGTTGCGCCGCTGCCTTTACTTCACGTGCCGGTTCATGCTCCTCCCCGGGACCTGCGACTCCTGTCAGTTGCGTGCTCTGTTCGCCGACTTCCATCCCTGGGACTCTGGTCTATTGCGTGCTCTGTTTGCCGCCGCCCACCCATGGCCATCTTCGTCGTCTCGCGTATCTTTTCTCCCTTTTCTGCAGTCACGGTCGACTGCGCAACGGCCTCTTTCTTCACGCGCCGGTTTTCCACGGCCTCTTTCTTCACGTGCCGGTTTTACCGCCCATTTCTTCACGTGCCGGTTTTCCCGCCCATTTCTCGCCGCCCACGGCTCTCTTCCGTCGTACAGGCAGCACAACGGAACAACAACAACAACAACAACAACAATGGCCTCCCTCCCCTCTCTTTCTCTCTTTCTCTCTTTCTCTCTTTCTCTCTTTCCCTTGCTACGCTTGCGCCGCTGCCTTGCCTTGCTTACCGTCGCGATTCATGCTCCTCCCCTTTCCATGCCTCCTCATTCCATTCCATCAGTTCTTTGTCTTCTCGTCGGACACAACTTTGAACGTCAGTAGTCCATCTCCAAGAGAAGAGGAGAGGAAAGGGTGGGGAGTTGGTGCAGATCAGCCATCAAACCTCGCAAACACCAAATCGATCACTGCGGCGAATTTTAGAGGGAGCTTGCCCGCCCATTTCTCGCCGATTCCGGGAATCGAACCGACGTCCTCATCCAACAAAAACTCCTCGAAACGTCCTTTGAGCCGAGCAGTGAAGAGAATTGTCCCCGGAGACCTGCACGGCAATATCATCTCAAATCCATGTCAGAGTCCAATGACAGTCTAATCCTAAGAGGGGAAGAAAAAGGGTGATTAACAAGGGTGAATATGAAGGGTAATTAAACATATCAAATCCGTCTACGGCTCGGTTGCTCAAGGGCTCTGGCTCATAAGTACGGTAGCGTAATCAAAACAATTAATTAAATTTATTCGTTTGATTAGCTTTTTTTTTTTTTTTTTTTTTGCTACCGACTGCACTTACCTTATGAATATACTGAATTAGTTGTTCTTTAATAAAATAATAATAATAATGTACAAGACCAATCCTTCTTCAACTATAACCAGTCCTCCCTCTCTCTCTCTCTCTCTCTCTCTCTCTCTCTCTCTCTCTCTCTCTCTCTGTCTCTGTGTCTGTCTGTGTGTGTGTGTGTGATGAGTTCTTCCTGCGCGCTTACATCGGTCGAGAGCTCACGCTGCTAAGGGGAATAAATTCATTTTTTTAATGTATAATTACCAACTGCTCTTATCTAACGAATTTCTGCGCTATATTTTGTTAATAATGTACAAGCGAGTGCTTAACCAACTGACAGACTTCTCTCTCTCTCTCTCTCTCTCTCTCTCTCTCTCTCTCTCTCTCTCTCTCTCTCTCTCTCTCTCTCTCTCTCTCTATCTTCCCAAGTTCCATGCCGCGTAGGTACCTGGATTCCCAAGTTCCATGTCGCGTAGGTACCTGGTACTAAAATTCCCGATATACGGGGAAAATAAAAACAAAAATGAAAAAGGACAACGAACCAACGGCAGAACAAGAAACGAAATGAACTGAAGAGAGGAAAAAGAAGAAACTACGCCAATCTAGCGATATGTGATGTGCATTCGTTAAGGGCGGTAGGGCAAAGAAAATATTACTCTACCCAGATGGGGTAGACTTCCTGTTGCACATCACCGACTTCTTTTGCTGTATGTTTTTTACTATTTTTTTTTGAATTAATCATTCATTTTATGATTTTTTTTCCTTTTATCTATATGGATCTATGAGATATCACTCACCACGCATGCGCAACATTCGCGCTCGGTTCCACCTTGCCCAGGTGGAGTTCGCTCGCCTTTCCCGGCCTCAGGAACTTAGGCCGCTGCTCTCCCGACCTCCTCTCTCTCTCTCTCTAAAAGGAATTTATTTTATAACATATAATAGCATTCTTATACGTTATAATCAATTCTCCCAGGAGATCAAGATGAAGACTGCGAAAAACAAGTACGCGCGCTTTGCACACGTGCCAAACCCCATGTCAACTGCGCTCAAACGGACGATACAAAAGCTCAAATGCACGGTACACAATCATCCTCCAGCTATTCTCCTCCTCCTGCTGCTGCTGCTGCTTCTGCTTCTGCTTCTGCGTTTTCTGCTTCTTCTTCTCGTCATCCTTTGCGCACTCCATCCAGTGACCGATGGCCGACACAAGACCGGATAAGGCTGAACAGAAGATCCAATCGAGTCCAGATACACTGCGTAACCCAAGCATGACCTTTCCGAAGGACAGGGCGGGCCACAAGACTACGACAGTCGCGCACGCCCACAGGCACCAGAAGCGAGCGTCCTTCCTTTGCCTCGCAAGGAACAACTCTATCCATTGCAGAATGAGGAAACACGCGAACACAAGCCCATCATTCTCGGTCCCGTAATCGTAATCCACTGCGCGCAACAGGCCACCATCCACGGGGAAGGCACCACCACTCCATCGAGAAACGCTTCTGCCCCAAAACAGGACCAGAAACAGAAACAGAATGTGCACGGACGTCAAAACCCGGCCCCGCTTGTTGCGAGCGGCAGCAGACTCTCTGCCACCAGCAGGCTCGGAAGAAGAAGAAGAAGAGTACTCCGCCTGCTCTTCTCTCTCGTCTCTCTCATCGTCAGCGCGGCTGCCAGGACAACGACGTTCCTTGGGAAGATCGATAACCGAAATCCCGGAGGTAATTACCATTGCTCCCGCATGTCGTGTCTCTGGGATGGCTGCGTTGCTGCCCTCCTCCTCCTCCTCCACCTCCTTGTCTCTCTCATCATGATGCTGTCTATGCTGATGATCAGCTGCTCCCCCTTCTGCTGTTCCTCCTCCTCCTCCTCCTTCAGTGGTGCTGCTGTACGACGCCTCCATCTTCTCTCTGTCATCGCCATCTTCCTGGTCCTGTTCATCATTATGCCCTTCATCATATCGATGGTCATCCTCATCCTCATCCTCATCCTCGTCATCATCATGTTGATCATAACGACGATTGTCAAGATGATAATAACGACGATGCTGACGACGATGATCCGCTGCTCTTGTTGGTGTTGTTCCTGGCGCAAAGAGTCCGAAAGTCACCGACGCTAGCAGGGCAAACGCCATCTGGCCGAAGATCAGCTGCGGCGGCGTCAGTACCATTTTGCCAGTCGATGCCATACTCAATACACACATGCTCAAGCCGGTGTAAATCATCCGCTTCCGGGATTCACTCATCCGCCTGAGGTTTTCAAGGAGCGCTCGGCCCAAAGCCAGAGCGCGGATCACTCCTCCCAACCCGTCGCTCGGGTTCAGAACGCACAGATCGATCATCTGCCGCAGCAGAGGCGAGCACGGCCCTCCGCAGGAGATGGCGACGTCCGCTCTCTCGAGCGCCAGCAGGTCGCGATCCGGATCCCCGGCCACGGCGATGGCCCCCACGTTCCGCTGGAACAGCTCCATGACGAAGTACCTGTGCGGCACTGTCGCCTCGGCGAGCACGGCCAGCCGCGGCAAGACTTCGTCGATCAGCCGACCGCAATCTTGTAATTGGTACAGCTCCTCGCCCGTCATGCATAAATCCCCCCCCCCCCTGCCGCCGCCTCCCTCCCCTCCCTCCCCTCTCTCTCTCCGAAGAACCCCCGATCGAACACCGAGAGCTGTCGCCATCGCTTTGTTGCCTCCCGTCAGGATGATAGGCCGAATGCCCAGTCGGTGCAGACTGCGGATCTCTTCCTCCACTCCTGGGCGAAGAGGCTCGTCCACGGCAAACAAAGCCAGGACGACAAACTCGTCACACGGCAGCTTCGACTCGCCAATCCAGTTGCCGTCTCTATCAAAAAGGTGGGGAGAATTTTCCTTGGAAACATCGCGGAAAGCGAAGAGAACGAGTCTATGGCCCTTCTCGCTCGCCGACTGAGCAAGTCTTTCGATTTTGGCGCGAAAAGTCGTACTAGATGATGATGAGGATGATGAGGATGACGAGGATGATGAGGAGGATGATGATTCCTCTTCCTCCAGGGGACGAATTTTACCGCTCGGAGTTATGTAGCGGCTGCACAACGGCAACACTTTCCAGAAATCACCCTTCACAATGACACGGATAACGCTCGGCGCCTTGCGGATTGCAATCATCATCCATTTCCGGATATGACAAAAGGGTTCGATCTGCACGACGCCGTGCTTCTTCCTCGTCTGCACAAACGACCCGCCCAAATCGAGCGCGAAACGCAGCAACGCCTGCTCGATCGGGACCGCGATCGGTTCCACCTTGCCCTTGTTCTCCATGACGTCTCCCATCGTATTCTGAAACACGCCCTCGAACAGAAGATCCATCACGCCATCGCTCACCTCGTCTCGCAGCAGAACTGGCGATGGCGATGTCGATGGCGGCGATGGCGATGGCGATGGCGATGGCGATGGCGATGGCGATGCTGGCGAAGCTGGCGATGCTGGCGAAGCTGGCGAAGCTGGCGAAGCTAAGACTCCCTCGGGATCGACGTCCAGCGAGAGACCGCCGATCGTGATTCCGACCACCCTCATCTCCCCACGTGTCAACCCCTCCGAGAGATTGATAAACATGGTCGAGACGGACGGTAGCCTACTGCAGCTGTCGGGACGCTCGGACACCCCCAGACCGACATTAACAGCCGCCAGGTGTCGTAGGAGGTCGGAGTATCCGACGGCTACGATCGCGCTCACTAGTGATGGAGTGACGGCCGAGATCGGGACGAGGCCGACGTCCAACAACCTGCGGACGAGCTGCGCCGCGTTCGCCGTCGCCTTCGCCAGCGACGGAGCGCTGGCCCAGAGCGGGAGGAGGCCGACGTTCAGCAACTTGCGGCCTAGCCGTGCCGCGCTCAGCAGCCTCCTCACACCGCCGCCGGCAAGCACCCTCCCCGCAAAACCGACTCCCGATCCCAATCCCGATCTGAAGGATGAGGATAAGGAGGACAAGAGGGATGCGGAGGAGGCAGCGGCAGCCGCCGCCGAGGAGGAGGACGATGTCGCGGAGGAGGAGGAGAAAAAGAACAACGAACACGTCCCTGCCATCCCTCTCACGATCCTGAGGACCAACCCGGAGGCTGTCATCAGACCGAAGAACAGGAACAGAAGAGACACGACAGTGGTGGCCAGCAAAGCCCAGCCGTGCACCTCCGCCTCCACGTCATCCAATATCGATTGGATAAGGTCTCTGCCTTTCGGCCACGTGGCGCAATCGAACGGATGGAAGAGACTGTCGCGCGGAGCGGGATTTTTCACCAGCACCTCCCCCTCTCCCTCCCAAATCAAGCTGCTCGCAGAGACTGGAAACTTGATGTTCTGGTCAGCGTCCACGGTGGTCGATCTGTTGAATCTCCCCTCCCGTTTCTCGTACGTCCCCACACGGACCCGCCCAGAGATCAGAACGCCATCGCCGGGCACCACCGTCATGGCGGTCACGCGCACAGTGTCCCCCTCGCGCAAAAGCCACCACGGAAGGGTGCCTGTGCGGAGGCCTCTCTTGACAACCAACGAGAATATTTTCTCCCTATTCAGGTCTGCTGAACTGGTCGGTGGAGCGAAAAGATGATACGCCGACGAAGGCGATGCGCCCCCGCCGGCGGCGGCGGCGCCGACGCCGCTCAAGCAGACCACTCGCCGGGCAATCTTCGACGCAACGGCCTTCAGTCGAGATCCCGCCTTGCAGGACTCTGCCAAACGCCCGGCAGCCATTGTCCAATAATAGACGTCGCTCAGTCCCGACACCGGCGGCGGCATCGGATCGAACGTCATCAGGCGTTCGAAGACTGACCGGGTAGCCGCGCTGCCACCGAGTTCTTGGAGCTTCTCCGCCACGGCTCCCCCCGCTTCTGCGCTCGACGCGTGGTCCCCACCATCAGCAGGGAGGAAGACGGCGCGCAGGAGCGAGATTGACCCGGCGCCTAGGCGATGAGTCACGAAGATGAGCACCGACCACTTCCTAATGAGCATCAGGGTCCCGGTCCCGACCTTCCTCAGATGATCTGTCACTACCACCTGGAAGACCTTGGACTTCGACACTTGGCGCATACTCCAGATTCCCCCGGCCCAGTTCCTCACTCCAAACATGGAATTGCCGCTCGAATCTGATTCACCACTGACTCTTCCCTCGGTATTAGTACCATAATTACGGCTGATACTCTCGCCGCCATCATACGCATGCTCGTCATCATACGACCGCTCAGGCTCCGCCACGTCGGGAATTTCCATGTACAGCAGGCTTCTTGCCTCCCCATTCTCATAATATGGAATCCTATAATCGTCGCCAGGACTATCATCATCATTACTGTCCCTGTGATTACGATTACTACTGCTATCAGTACTCGTACTGTCTTCCGTATCGCCACCGTCGTCTTTTGTATCACCACCATCTTGTACGCTGGCATGCGATTCTTCTACCGTAACGTTATCCTTATGAAATTCTGTAAAAGCGCTAGCCCAGGGAGCATTCCTTCGTCCGAGCGTCGTCAGAGCAGCAGTGTCATCAATGCCTGGAATCGACTGCGGCTCTAGCGAGTGGCACGTGTCGAACATCGAAAGCTCTCTCGTCGGTGATCCGCTGGCAAAGCCAACGGGGCCTTCTTCTTCTTCTTCTTGACCTATTGCAATTGGTAGTTCTTGATTCTCGAAACAAAGGGGCGGGGGGGGTTGAGGAGAAGAGGGGCCAGGAAGCCGAGGGAGAGGGAGAGGAAGAGGAGGAGACGAAGGGCTAGAGAGCTGAGGGAGAGGACGACGAGGAGGCCAAGGGCCGGAAAAAAGCTGAAGCTGAGCGAGAGGGGGAACAGGATACCCAGTTGGAGCTAACTGGGTCCCTCTCTGATGCTGGATTGTGCTCCGTAGAACGCGGCCGCACCTCAGGTGGTCGGAAAACGAACCACACTTGAATAAAAGGTATAGTACGTGCCTCGGAGAAGGCAAGTCGCTAGAATGTCTACAACTTTGAACCTGGTCCTGAAATCGGAGATCGGCTTGATCCCGATCGGGACGTAGCTGACGTGGCCCATGGAGTCCCTGGTCAGCGCAGCCGTCCAGTTCCCCCAAATTGTTATTTAGATGGCTCACAACACGGGACAGATCAACGACTATGTAGCTCATAATACGAGACAGATCGACGACCAAAGTCATCCGCATGTACAGGTGTTCCCGAGGTATCTGTGGCGAATTTGGCGATGATACAGTGATACGTCGTGCACCTGGCCACGTTATCCGGCAAAAGGGGGATCCAACAAAGCAAAACCAAGCAATCGTGTACACCTTTGTCCGAGACTGCATTTCGCCGACGACCTGTACGACGAACGGGCCGTGCGATATTCCGATCGCCGCCATCTCCACTCCAAGGCCGAGCTGAGCTTCGCCTCCACCTCCTCCTCCTCCTCCTCCATAGCCGGACCTCGGCCACCGAATCCCACCACCCCCTACGCACGCCGATTCCTGAGCAGCTCCGTTCCGTTCGGGCCCGACCGCTACCGGACTCCTACGATCAGCGCAGTTCCCTGAGTGAACTGCCCAGCCCGAACCCGAACGAGTGAGGCAGAAACGGCCTTCCCCTTCCATGGCGACAATCCGGAGATGGCTTCAAAGCTGAGATCGACGTAAAGATGAGAGCAGAGAAGATGTCTCGAAAGCATTCAAGATGGAACAAAGCAATGGCCATGGACGTGCTGTCGAACACGAGAACGCTTTTTGAATTATTGTTCAAAAAAGACGAACAAATATACACGTAGTACACGTAACACTGTTCTCTGAGGTACTCAGCAGAAGGAGAACCCGCAATATCCTCGAAGCACCCTTCCACCGCCCGCTCTGCAGCCATCCTCGGGACGCTATATTCTAGTACACGCCATTGCGGACATCGAGGATGATTCCCGCCACACACTTTTCACTAAGTCTTTTCCTCTCGCTGACCGTCAACCAGCTCAGTAGGAGGCTATCCTCGACTTCCTCCCACCACTGCTCTGAGAACATGTGTCCGAAAGAAGGAAGAAAGATTAAGAGAGCACCCAACTTGTGATGATGTGATGATGCCTGAAGAGGTCAGGACAACAAAAGCAAACCGTCTGGACATTCGTCGTTCGTCAGAATGGGTAAAAACAGATTCCACGGTCCTTCGGGACATTCGTTGAAATTGGAACGATACAGAGAAGGGTAATTAGCAAATGGCCCCTGCGCAAGGATGACACACATAAATCGAGAAATGGTCCAAATTAAAAAAAAAAGAATCCACGGAAGATTAACTAGGACGGCCCTCGCGCAACTCAGGATGACACGCATAAATCGAGATTTGGTACAAACGCAACCGTGCGACGACACGTGTACGGAGGACAAGAGATTCTATGGTGGCCTACTGCGTCGGGACATGCGAGTCAAAGTGAGAGAGGTCCTTCGCTCTGTGAGATAAAAATCCGATCTGGGCTCTGCCGGAGAGAGCTACGACGATTCATGCTCGAGCTAAGAAGTCCGTCGCCGCTGGCATCCAGCACGCGTCAAGCGTGCACCGACCATATGTCTGTCAAGCTGGCTCACAAAGGTGAAGAAAATAGCCATGAAACGCTTGCCGCAAGAGAGATCCCCGGCGATGGCGGACTGCTTTCCTGCATCTTGACACAAGCCCTGTGACAGGCAGAGTCGACGCGAATTGGGGCCCGGCATCCTTCCTGGCATATTGCTCAAGCCCCCAACGAGTGAGTAAGGGCCTTTCAGGCCTTTTTTATTGTCATGATAGTATTACGGGGAACCCCATCGGGGACTCCCCGTAATACTATCATGACAATAAAAAAGGCCTGAAAGGCCTGACAGGCGATCCATCACAGGCCGAGGATCGTGTAGCGGACCTCGGGTTGGCCTGTGAGACCAGCCCCTTGGCCTGTTCTCACAGGCCTGTGTTATATTTGGGGTAGGCCAGTCCAGGCCGGTACCTCTGTCGGTACCAGCCAGTCCAGTCCAGTCCCGTCAGTCCGCTGGGGTATACCCCAGCCATTGTTTGTTTTCATTCTCATTCCTCACTTGCATATTTTGGAGTACGTGCGTTGGAGTCTTGCGTGGGGAGCTGCGTTGTGCCATCTTGCTCCCCCTTCTTCCTCCATCTCCATCTCTGTCACTAGCGGAGCACCACACCTGGTGGGTCCGCTACATTGGTATCGGAGCGGGAACGGTCCCCGCCCCCACCCACCACACTGCACAGCAGTGAAATACTGCAAAACCCGACAGTCGGTTTTTGGCTGTTTTTGGGGCGTTTTCGGGCAGAAAAGCGGGAAAAACGACGGGAAAAGGTGCTGCAGCAGCAGGACAGCTCCACGTGGCAAAAAAGGAAGCCGCGTCGTAAGGCCAAGGCCGCCGCACGCGCGTGCGCCACGTGCTTGGCCTTGGCGCACGCGCCACGCGCCCACGCTGCCCCGCCCCGCCCCGCCCCGCTCCGGATTTATATGATCAAGATCCGGGATGCAACTGCTGCTGTGGGGGGTTGAACCCAGGCACTGCCGGAGCCATGCGCGTGCGTAAGCAACCTCATAACACACTCACCACAGTGTGTTCATGGCTCTGTACCACGGCACACTCGTGTTGAAGAGGTGCCGTGCTGGCTATTTACCCCCCCCCCCGGCGGCAGCGAGCAGAGC